GGGGGATGTAGAAATTCTGCACCCTTTACAGATGCAAAAACTCAAGTATGTCATCATTGCCCCGATCTCCAATAACGGAACCTATACAACGATTTGTGATGCACTCGAAATAAAAGGACTTTCAATCGAGGAGAACGAATTCAATGGGGTTACTTTCTCATGCAACGACATCTCCGCAGCGAGTGCTGAGTTTGCGATGTTGATGGGAACTACCAACGCAAGACCGGTCGCTAGAATGCTTACTGATCATGTAGAGAGCTTAGGTGCGAAACGAGTTGTAAAAATTCATGCTTGGTTATCCATGCCCCAGTTCGGGTGTCCAATGTTGGTTTTTGAATTAGCGGGCGAAGATCCTCCAGCTCCCGCTCCCGCTCCTACTCCTGTTCCTGCTCCTGCTCCCAAAAAGATCGGCAGAAAAATCAGTACCAAGGTACAGAACTTGATGAAGAAGTTTCAAGGCTGAGAGGTGAGTTCTTAGTGATTATTCTCATTTCTTTACTATAACCTCAAAAGCGCTGGCGCTCACCCAAAAAAATACTTTATAGATTCTACTGGAATCGTGAACAAAACGAATAATAACAAGACATAAAAAACCAATTAGTTACGCTGATGTGATGTAGTAATTTATTAGAACTTGTGAAATTCAAAATGAGAACCTTCCAATTTTCATCCAGGAAATCAAAAAAAAAAAAGGTGCGATGAATGAGCTTGATCTTGGTGAAAGCAGTGTGTTAAGTAACATGGTAGAAAGAAGTCTTTCTCTAGATTAATGATTTAAAGAATTAAACAGAGCGACTGTTATGATTTCATCTCAGTTGATTTAGTACTTGTTTATATCCCCTTCTTGTTAGCAAACAATACTGCTGTTCAGCGAGTTTGTACTATAGTTCATACATCTCATAGTACTTCTACCTCGAGTGATGGGAGAACATTTGAACCCATGAAACTCTGAAGGGTCATGGAGGAGCATCAATAAAAGAAGATCATAAATTCATTCACTCATAATATAGGGAGAGAATCCTGTAGAAAGTAGGTATACGATATTAAAGCTAGTTAGCACCAAGAGTATGGAATTAAGTGAACAATACCATGAAGCAATAGTGAAGTTCAAAGAACAGTATGATAAAGAGAGACATGCGATATTCAAGATGCAGTCGCATGCGACGATATGGAATTGGGAGTGAAATGGATAACATGATGCGTGTTGCACATCATTCATGGGTTGAAAATGTAGACTCGGATGCATGAATGTATGATAGAATTTTGGTGACTTGCTAATGCTTGGATAGGTGTTTGAGATGATTTGAATGCTCTTTGAGTTCGAAGTTGACATAACTCTATTCTCTTTGATGTCTATTTCAAAACTATACAGAGTAATTTTAAGTTCCGCAATGTACCCTCTGCTTACCAATTTTCCATCTCTTGTAAAATTTGCTTACAATCCGCAAACTGTGTATCACATTACTCAAATTTGCATATCATTTCATACCACAAGCTTAGAGCTTATTCTCAATCCCCTACGACTAATGCTTCTCAAAAGATCGATACCTTCTGAAACCGCTTGTACGTCATGAAGATGTAACACCGTCTCTCAGAAAAAGCGGATAGTTTAGGTCGATGTATGTCGTGTCCACAATTCACAGTCCACGTTCAAGCAAGTATATTATGTTTTGGTGGCGAATTCAGGGGGTTCGTGGGCGCTTTATTATTACGAAACCAGCAAAGATGTCTCCTTATTTCCTTCTAACAAATACTAGCGGAGTGGTGATTGCCGGTTGCTTTATGTTTTTCGAGTAATTTGAGATAATTTAATATCTTCATCTCTCCCTTAAGTTAATCATTTTGAAGGGTATTCCTCACCAATGCCATTTGATCCAGCCCCTACATCGAACAATCAACATCAACATTTTCGAACCTGCATGACTGGGCATAGTAGCTCGAGACAATACCCTTTCAAAAATTGCATATCTTATCAAATCAAAGTACACGCGACAGAAAAGGCACAATGTGAGATCTAGAATGCTCCATATCTCTTATTCAGTGAATCTTCAGGATAGACATACGCTCATTCTCTAAGCTGCTCTATGGAGGTATCATCGAACAAGCCTGGCATCCATACACTGTGATTCCGCAAAATGATGACTAGGTAGACATGGTCTGGAGAGAAAAATGATATCGTTAGCTAAAAGAAGCAACTGAAAGAACATTCCTTATGTTCACACGTTCTCCCGTCGCCTATCGCGGGGAGAATTGTCTACTGCTTTCGAGTTTCACCGCAATTATTCCATGTAAGTATGAATTATATTCGATGACTTTTAGTATACTACATTCGGTCAATGGAATTTAAACTTATCTGTGGGGATTTAATTCTGTTTCTATAGTACTTTCTACTATTTTCGAGATAGAGATGTATTCTGTCATGTTGATTTGGGAGAAGTAGTGATAGCATCAATTATCATCTTCTAATTGTGTACTAGTCTCCCTGTCTCCATACAGCGTGGCTACTGACTCAGGTCAATAAGTGAGCCGTGGCATCACAATTAGTAGTATCACGGTGCAAGGAATAGGCATTGGGTAAGATGTATGAGATTTTTCAAAACGAGGGTAGAACGAGGCGGAGGGGACGCCAATTACATAGGATGTGTATGGCTAATCTACTTAAGTACGCTATGAACCCCTGACACGTAGATCGATGCAAACACATTTTAATCTTCTAATATAACTTTGAATACATCCATAGCTGTACCCTTCGGGGGTGCGAGGTCTATGATTTCCTTACTAGTCGGTGTGCCAGCGAGCGAGCAATTGCCATGCCACAATGGTTCAAATCCAGCCATTATCGATGGCAAAACCTTTTTCGGATACACACCCCTCCTTGATCAAGTCATCAAGCCAGCTAGTTACTTTGAACTCTGTCTTCTCGACTTTGGTTCCTGCATACTGCTCGACTATTCTGACAATGTCTCTCTCAGTTCAGGACCACTAAGAATATACTTGGCATGATTATGAGGCTTTGGGTCCTCAAGAGCCAGGAGATATGCCCCAATAGTACCGACGTCGCCAGGATCAATCATTGCCACAGCCATATCAGCATCAGGGACTATATTCAATGTCTCCGGTTTGCCGGTTTTACGATACGATTCGATCCAATCTGTAGTAGACGCGAGATAGGTTGTACTAAAGAAGTTCGGCTGCAGCGATGTTCACTGCATACTTTTGAATTCTGTCTGGCCCAACAAGTTCTCGATGGCCCAGTGAGAGCAACCGTAGTACACGGGGCTAATTGGGCTACTGTACTCCACATTGGTTGATACTTTAACCACGTACTCGACACCGGCTTGCAGCAAGGCGAAATAGAGAGCAGACTCTTCCGCAAATTGCTGCGGCAAGTTGTGCGGGGCAATATAGATCCGGGATGCATCCTGGCTTCGAAGCTATGCAGCGTCAATTGTGGTCCAATCCTTCTCCTGCATCTCCACACGAGACAGCTTAGCAAGTATCTTGGAGGCAAGGCTGTCAAGAGAACGCGTCAAGCCAAGAATGCGGTAGCTGGTGTTGCTGTGTTTGAGCAGCTTAGGGAGATGCCGGACGACACTCTTGCCAGCACAATAACGAGGATTGTTGAAGTTATGATGCACTGTTGTGAGATGTGAGATCGAAGGAATCAAGCTGAGAAGATCTGTACTGGAGATTGGATGCAGCAGGATCCAAGGCGGGATCATATGCATGCAAATAGTGAGTTTGACATCATTTCAATTAGAGCACTGAACAGATGCCTCATACATATAGTAAGATTAGGAACACTTCGCGCGAGAGTCCAGCTAACTTTCTTGATTATCAAGCAGATACTCTGTGGGGAATTCGAATGCTGCGCTAAGGTTTGCCGGTCCGTTAAAGCATGGACAAGCTTGAATCGGTTTCTTCCTTAAACCCCTCGTGCGCTCAATTCGTAGTTTGAATGAACGTTCTGTAAGGTACTTACAATCGTACAATAGTCCCTTGATTTTCATACAGAAATCAAATTTTTAGTCATATAATCTTTTCTGACTAGCTCAGCTATAAAAAGAGATTCTCATGCATGATTCGAACATTGCTTTTTCTACTATCAATATGAGTAGCAGTATCAACTTGGTTTCTATTCTCCTCCTATTGGTACAAGCCATCAGTGGGCACATGAACTGACGGGACACTTCGAAATTTCCAACTAATTCATTCCTCAATTGTTTGATATCAGAATCTACCTTCTCATTGTTCAATCTCTAATAGATAAATATAACAATTCCTCAAATATAAAAATCAATACGTTAACAAATATCTCCAAGCTCACACTTGCAGTGTCCCATCACTTCATGCACCCACTGGTGGGCTTATCTCAAAATTTTCTGAAGAGCAGAAATTGAGTCGTCTGTCGAGCATTTCCTGAACTAATCTCACTTTATTCAGTTCTTAAATATGACCTATATAAATCGATTTTGTATTCAGACCGAGTGAGGTATTAGAGCTTCTAATAACAATCTGTACATGTAGATTGCATCATACTAAAAGTTGATTGATAATCCTGTGGCCAAAATTGAGTTCCTGGGGAGCGATGGATGCATATGTGTATATCACGTGATTGTGCGGCTAAGAGGAGGGAATACAGCTTCTCTTCGCAGCTTAAGCTTTCCTCTCTTCACGGTCTACCAACATCAATTGAAACTATTCGATCCCTACAGTTCTTCGTTGCCTTCACTCGGTGACAGATTTTATTCAATGTTAAAACCTATCAGTGATTACATAGTGTTTCAACCTCGATTTCGAGGTATATACTTCCCGAAGATAAACGTGCCCCGGATCCCCAATTGATTCGAAATTCTTTGATTATCAATTTATCCATCAAAAATTCCAGTCAAGCCATGCCTCAATTTTTTTTTTAGAAAGAATTTATAATTTGATCGCTGTCCTAACCTTACAGGTCGATGATTAATGCTATATCCTGGTTCCCAAGTCCTGCCACCCCGCTATGTTCCATTAAACCATACCGATAATCCACAGCAACTCTTAAAACGAGAACTCAAATCCTCTGACGGCGAGAGGAGGGGCATTTCCTCACTATCTTCATTATCATCCCCCTGACGAGGATTTCTCATTGAATTTTCCATGCTCATAATTGGCTCTTCGACACTAGTGTGCGAACTTTGAACATTTGGGCTGAACAACTCCACCGCTAGAGCTTCTTCATTGATGGCTGGACTTGGGCTGTTGGACTGTTCCGATGCATTATCTTGATTAGAGGGTGGCAGTTGGGGCTCGCCCAGCTCGTTCAATTCCCCAGATGCAAGCGACCGGGGCGATGATTCATCTTCATGACTTTGCTCTGCCGAAGAAAATTCATCTTCTGTAGAATATGAAGCTTCAGAATCATATGTATCTCTTTCTGCGTCCTCTATTTCCGTGTCGGGCACCTTCGATCTGTCGTCCATTGACATTGCAAAACAGAATACGTGTGACAGTCCAATTCTTTTGAAACCCACTGCTCTCCAAAATGCAATCGCATCTGTCTCGCTGCCCTTCCAGTCCTCCTACATATGTGAAAACGTATGAGAAGTCGAGTCTGTAGGCTCTCATCTTGAATAGCAATCCAGACACCAAAAACTTTGCAAAGCCTTTGCGACGATACTGTTCTTCAACTTTCACTAAATCAATCATAAGAAAATTGCCAATGTTTACACGAGCATCCCAAATGCCCGAGCCTTTGCGAGACCCTAGGAACCACTTTTGTTGCAGTTGACCATATTCATCAAATATCTGGCTCGCCATTTCTAGGCTGCATTCAGTATCTATAAATGCCATTGCTCTTCCAAATTCTGCTTCTTCTGCATGTGCACGATTGACTAGGTGGCCCTTCATGATACCGATGTTACCACTATAATCGGGCAAATCGCAGAAAATTACAAATCCCACATAATGGCATTCTCTATTCCGTGTGAGATCAAATTCGCGAAAGTCTGGAATGACGTTTAGGACAGAAGTCGGATTTTGCGGAGCAGGAAAAGGATCCATCTCGAGAGCGTTGTTACTAGAAGTTATAGCTACAGACTGATGACTCTGCTGCTGAATTGATATTGTAGAGTATAGAAATATGGCGAAGAGAAATGAAGGAGAAACAGTAAACAGACCTCAAGTTTAAGTATCAGATACAACTTACTAACTTTCAAATTAACTTTCAACTATTCAATCGTAGGGCACATTGGGGCAGAACGATGTTCATACTCGGGTATTTCTTGGTCAAAAAGAATTCCATGTTGTCTGTGGAAGCTCTGAAGCACGAAGATAATCTCAAAATATGAAGTATGGATGGGTTAAAGTCGCATTCTGGAGAGATGGAAGGCACTGTCTTTCCTTGTGTTGGTGGTCTGAATTGATGACATTGCTTTTGACGTTTATTTTTGTTTTTGAAGAGATGGCGGTCCTATATCGATGCTATCGTTCCTTCTCTCCATGATTACACCGAGTGAAGAAGGAATGGTTGATGTGTGCTTGATAGAGCGAAGCGTAAATGCCAAGACAGAAGCATCGACGCGACAAGAGTATCCGTTGTATTTATTGATCATCTTATTTGTTTCCATATGGTAATGATTCGTTGCCCTAAGATGTATGTTATGCTCAGAAATCTCGTGCATTGAATCGTTTCGGATTGCTGTAATAACGTTGTTAGGCTCTAATTGCTGCCAGTGACCCCTGCATTGATGACGAGGCATAAGCCAAGAGGGAGGGAGTGAATCACATGGTATGGCGCTTTGACCCCTGCCGCTTTGGTTTGTGTCTGCCAATAAGAGCATGATATGAGAATTGACATCTCATTCACAGTTGGTTAACCACAGGAACGCAGGCGCAGTGCGTCAAATAGAGTGAATATGAAAGGTGCATCCCGCAGTAACGTTCCCTGAAAGCTAGTTTGAGATGCATTCCCCAAAAAAGTAGATAGGTATTGCCAATCTCAACTTCCAGAAGCTCATCCATCCTCGTGTGGCAAACTTGTTGATTATCTCCCAAACCGAAGTCAAGATCGAAGTATAGAATTGGTTGCCTTTCTTGATGTCAAAGACAATCAAATCTCGAACTCCAAGGAATTAGGTAGCAGCCATAGCCATTTGCATATCGATCTGCATCCTGGCCAGATTGTGCGAAAGGACGATGTCAGTGAAAGTAGACAGCACTTTAGATAAAGTCAATCATATCATTATCTATCGCCGACATTGGTAGGAATATTAAAGGTTAGCATGATCAGCCTCACTCATCCAATTGCCGATATATGTTGTTAGGTACTGTAAGAGAATATATCTGGGGCTGACAAAAGTTGAAACAATACACGTGGCATCGACACGATAGTTTCCGAAAATGCATATGCGAGTATAGATGCCACCGAACAAAGTCGAGAGATTCGGGTTAGGAATTGGTATCGGGAGTGGTATGATCGGAGTAGCGTCGGAATTGGGCGATGAGTTGGCTGAATGGTATGTGGCATGGTGAAAACCACACCAGTTCAATCAACCGCACATTGCGATGAAAACTGTTGAAATTGTTCAGATCGATAGAGAAATAATAAATATTTTTGTAGATAGAAATTTATTTCAAATTAGTTGAGGCTGTGTTATGTTAGACTTCTGTTAAACTTTTGTGGCACAATCCTATTTTGATTTTGCCAAGTTGAGTCATTTTTCGGTCGCACTCTTTCGGAACACCCGGACAAAGTTGCACCAGAGTACTCGCTATGTCTAAATGCTATGGAAATTCTCTGGAGAGGAATGCCGTGAAAATGATAGTCTCTTCGGAAATTCTTGAGATCTCGAAATGATGTTGAGAGTGTTCTTCGTATTATGCCCTATGCTATGGCTGTCGTCTTCCGTATGCCTGCCAAACTCCGTAACCTAGCAAAGCAAGCCCAGCAAATAGATGCAGATAATTATATATGGCTCACAATGTAAAGAAATGATCAATGATTTGTATGTCTTTTCATCGACATTGATGAAAATTTGAGGGAGTTATTCAAAATGTAGTTGGGGGTCTCGGTCGCAATCTGAAATAATCGCGAGTCAAAAATTGGCCAACTTTCGTTGATACTTATAATTGAAGCAGCAACAAGTCAAAATAACATTATTTTCACATACACTTGATAATATGTCAAATACGCATCCCCTGATATAAAATTTATAACAATTGAACGCAGTTTCGTTGATTGTTGGGCGTATGTTGAAGATACGTAGAAAAGATCGTGATGCTTCAAAAACCAACAAATATCTCGACACAAAATTCAATCTGATGCACTCGCAACCACAACTCCAATTTTGGAACCAAAGTATCATTGATGTAACTATTTAATTGATGAAATCACTAATAACATTAAATATTGTAATATAGAACGCGTTCCTTGTGTCTAATAGCAAAAACAGTAAAATATGTCAACTTCATCAAACTCGACGACTTGAATTTTATATCAATCATCTATCAAAAGCATCGTGTACTATTGTCATCAATTCACTGAATTGAAAGATCAAAATAGTTTTGATGAAAAACAAAGATTCACCAGTATCAAGAGGAAATACAAAACATCCCCTCTCCCCAGATAAAAGAGAAAGGAAAGTGTGGCAGATTCCCAAAAGTTGAGAGGGGGATGTGGAAAAGTGCGAAAAAAACCGAGTAAGTCGAGTTGGGGTCGCATGATCAAGGCGAAAGCTTTGAGGGGGTATTAGACGGTTGAACTAAGCATCCATTTCCCTCCTTTAAACCAATCAGCTTCCGTGAAATTGGATTTCAGAATGCCTTTCGTTTGCATTTTTTATAATTAATTGCTTAATTCGGACTAGTAATAACAATTCCGTTAAAACTGTGGAAAGATCACCAAGACCATTTCTCGCATCTACATAAACAAACCCCCCCGCTTCCCAAACACGAGCTTTCGGAACCTCTTTTGCCTTTCAACATACCAACAACTTTCCACGTACAATCAATTCAAATCAAAACCTTTTGGACTTTCTTGTTCATTATCTCAACTTCGAAATCAGTTTAATTACTTTTAAACCCCTTTCTACCAAATATCAATCAAAATGCCACCAAAGGCCGCCACTACCGCCGCTGCTGCCCCTAAGGCAAAGGCTGCTCCATCCGACCATGCCAGCTACCAAGGTAAGGAATAGCTTCCGAATCCACAACACCACGTCGCATACACATTATGTATACATGGTTATGATCGCATGCTTCTTATGCATTGAACGTGGAGCTTCATTTTCCCATGGATCAATTACTGACGCGTCATGACAGACATGATCATTGATGCGATCATCAACTTGAAAGAGGTATGTTTGGATTCCTCCATCCACTTCTACGTTTCATACATATACTAACTTTCTTCTGTAGCGCAATGGATCTAGGTATGATTCCCTATTTATATTTCGCACAATTCCCTACAATTAATACTCGACGCGTCTTATAACCGCCACTCGTACTTGAATCTCATACTAATATCAACACAGCCGTATCCAACTCAAGAAGTACCTCAAGGCCAACAACAAGATCAATGCTGGTGACAGCATGTTCGATTCTCTTTTCAACCGCGCCTTGAAGAACGGTGTCGCCAAGGAGGTCTTCATTATGCCAAAGGGTAAGCTTCTCCTTGCATCGCCACATACCAAACCTTTCAGTATCTAATCCCTCTTTTACAGGTTCCTCCGGCACAGTCAAGCTCGCACCAAAAGCCAAGAAGGCCCCAGCTGAGAAGGCCCCAAAGAAAGCCACCGAGAAGAAGGCCGTTGTTAAGAAGACTGCCGTCAAGAAGACAACTGCCACCAAGGAGAAGAAGCCCGCCGATGCTACCGCCACCAAGGAGAAGAAGGTTGCACCAAAGAAGGCCGTCGCTAAGCCAAAGGCTGCTGCTAAGCCAAAGGAGAAGAAGGCCACAGTCACCAAGGCAAAGAAGCCTACCACCCCTAAAGACGTAAGTCGATTATGTTTCTATACACTCAAATATGAACATGACTAACAATTGACTATAGGCACCAGCAGTAGTTGAGAAAGACACCGTCCTCAAGAAGACCGCTTCTGGACGCGTCACCAAGACCAAGACCGACGCACCAAAGAAGGCCGCTGTTAAGAAGACCGCCACCAAGAAGGCTGCCCCTAAGAAGGCCGCTGCTACTGCATAAATATATCTCTTTTGAGAAACATTTGCAAGCATCTTTCTTTCTAATGAACTGTTCATAAGGCGTTTGGGAAGGAACCGGATATCACGCGTGACTGGACCGCGTTTGTTTGTTATTTGTGGCTTCCATATTTTTTGTGCTCTGCTCTGCTGTGGTTCTGGGAATATGTTAAAAGCGTAATTGTTCAAGATTACATTTTTGACAATTACAGGTACTAGGAAACTATGTATTGGACTGACGGAATGGAACGGATGGGCGTTGGGAGGGTAGGGTTGCTAGATATTTGGGATTTTGTGATAGCGATTAGTGATGGATATCAGATTATGTTGTACTTGTTCAAAAGATCAACGACAACCTGATGGTAGCGGAATATAAAGATTTTTTAAGTTCATTTAGTTTTGTGTTGCTGTAATATTTTCCAAGTTATCCTTGCCTTGTTCATGCTTGCATTATGTTCTATTTTATTCTTGATAAATTGATTCTATGTGGTGGATTGGTGGGTTGATTGTTACTCGAAGAGTTGAGAATTAAGGGTTTTGAGAGAACATCTTTTTTTTTCTTGTCCTTTTTACTATGAGTAATTAATATATACAATTTCCTTTTACTCGAGTGTTAATAAACAGACGTTTATCTCCAAATTCTCGCACATCATTGATATATACCAGAGATTGGAGAGAATGAAAAGGTTATGCAAGTAAAAGAGTGAAAAAGAGTACACGCGACGCGTCGGTTGTTTTGTTTTGATTCGGGTCTGATGAGTGAGGTGGTTTGGTTTGGTTTGGTTTGATGGTTATGAATTGATTGGGGAAGGGGGAAAAGGAATGGAAAGGGGAGGGGAGGGAGAGGGAATGGGTATGGGTATGG